TTGCCTTCACTTTTGCTGGTAAATTCATCTATCCAGTTGTTGAGGCCTTCCTTAGCTGGCATTAAAACTTGTTTCTTTAGGATTCCAAGATAGACTGGAAACCAGTAGCTCTCTGGGAATCCTCCTGGACTCCAACACCAGATTGGGGTGCTGAGACATTCAGGATCATGGGTTGAACAAATGCCAATTTCTAGCCTTTCTTTTGTGTGTCAGCCATTGCTAGACTACCCAGACCATGACCTGTAAACAACTCTAATAATTCCCCTTTTTATACTCTCTCTCTTTCGCATTCCATCAATTCTGTTCTTTTAGAGACCCTTGATTAATATAGACTCCTTCATCTGGAAGAGGAATGTGCATTTCTTACAGTGGGAACAACCACATCACCAAAGGATTTGCTAAAGCAGAGAGGTACACACACAACAGCTTTTGTGGTGGTCTCTTATGTCACAATCTTTATGGGGGCTGCATACCACCACATTATTCAAATGACAGCTTTTCAGAGAGACTGAAGTTGACAAATGTGTACTTAAAGATGGGTATTCCCAGCCTGGCTGATTCGCCCAATGAGAGAAATTTTGCATTGGCTGCATGTGCTGACCCTTGGGAATCAAGCTTCCTAAAAACATAAAGGTACTCGCTATGTGTCAGGCTACAGAGATTTCTCTCCCTCCTCTCCTCCCACAGTTTGGTTTCTCATAGCTTTCTGTGTGACTCACACAGGCCAGAGATCACAAGGAGGAAGACAGAGAAGGAGAAGCGGGTTAGAGATCAGCAGTGTACAATTTATTGCCACTGTTTAAAACATACAAAAGATCCCAACTTCCAGATACACACCACCTGACATCACAGAGGCTGTGGTACTCATGCAGAGTCTAGCTGTTCTGTCCTCTAATTCACTACATCGTGCTGGCCCACTCAATCCATAAAATATAGTTATTTAAGAAATATATACAGCAAGTGGTGGTGGTGCATGCCTTTAATCCCAGCACTCAGGATTCAGAGGCAGGGGGATCTCTGTGAGTCTGAGGCCAGCCTGGTCTACAGAGCCAGTGCCAGTACAACTAGGACTATACAGAGAAACTCTGCCTCAAAAAACGAACACATACACACACTGATTAAAAATTAGAGGTTTTATGAAGTCTTTGTTAGGGTTTTTATTGCTATGCTAAGAATTAATAACCAAGAGTAATTTGGACGGGAAAGGGGTTTTTGTTCATTTCACAGTTCATCATTAAAGGAAGTCAAGGCAAGATCCCAAGACAGGAGCTGAAGCAAAGGCTATCCTGCCTACTGGCTTGCTCCTCATGGTTTGCTCAGTTTGCTTTCTTCCAGTGCCAGGATCGCCAGCCTAGGGGCGGCACAGCACACAGAGAGCTAAGCACTCCTACCTCAACCACAAGTCAAGAAAATGCTCCACAGGCTTGCACACAGGCCAATCTGCTGGGGGCATTTTCTCCCTTAGGTTCCTTCTTCCCAGGAGACTTTTGTCTGTGTCTGTTTGACATAAAACTAGCCAGCCAGGTTGGCTATTAGAATTCAGAGATAACCACAGTAGTGGCTATGAATCATCAGAGTCAATCTGAAAAGATGGCCTATGTCAACAGTGCACAAGTGAAGTTATGGCTTAGAACCACCTAAGAAAATACACTTAGAATATTTTAGGAAGTCCACTGAGGGAGGGGGACAGCTCAGTTGGCAAAGCGGTGGCTACACAATCATGAGAACCTCAGTTTGATCCCCAGAACCCACATACAAGCCAGGTACCGTAAAATACCTCTAATCCTAGCACTGGTGAAGCAAACAGGAGGCTCCCTGGGTCTTGTTGACTCCAGGTTAATGAGAATCAGACAAAAGATGCATTTAATGTACACCCCAGAAATTTCATCTTTGTTGTATGACTCAAGGCACCTGTAACAAGTGCACAAAGAAAGCTGCAAAAATGCTCACGGTAGTGTTATCAGTAATTGCAAAAACCTGCAGATAACCCAAACATTCAATGACAGAAGAGAGAAAAGCAACTGTTGTCTTCCTGCTATGAATTCAAGGGACCTCAAAGACAATAGACCAAAGCTACATGTATCAGAATGAACAAGTTACAAGATGATAAAATGATTCTATTTATATTAAAAGGGGGAAGATCTAATAACTTCTTTGAGTGGGGGCCACACACATAGGTGGTAAGGCCATAAAGACAGACAAATGAATGATTAACATATAATACAAAAAAACACCAGTTACCTCCAAGGGTAGAGTGATGTTTGTGGCCAAGTGAGGGCAGACAGCATTGAGATGCTTCAGCTTGGTGGGAAAAGCTTGAGTGTTGCTTAGACTATCATCTATAATTTGTGCACACATGTTATGGCTATCTTTTGTACCTGCCAGATTTCATAATATAAAATATTCAAATTCCTAGGCCTCAGTTCAGATCTCTAGACTGGCATCTCCAAGCAATGCTTTCTGCGATTTCTGTTATAAACCCCCATGCACTGCCTGGTTAAGAGCGATTTACCTATGCATACTCTCACACAGACCAGATATCTTCATCCAGGAGAAGGCAGCTTAAAGCACAAATCAACCTCAAACTAACTCAAGAGGGTCAGGAAAGCAGAAGAGTAAGTTCGGAAGAGTGCATGGAAAGGGATCGTGCCTTGTAGGTCTGTTGGAATGCCAGGGATTGAGGGTGGCAGATAGGACAAATCCAAGGGCACTGATGATGCTTGTGTCACATTTCTCAGTTCAAACAAGATCCGCCCCTGATTGACTCCGCAGACGTATGAGCCCAAGTTCGTCATCGTCAGGAACTGGGGTGCAGGACAGGCTCCAGTCATAGCTTTCGCTACAGACACAGAGACATGGTGGAAAGAGCCTTACTTGGCATTCATTGTGGTAGACTTGTAGACCTGCCCATAAAAGTGTGTGATCTTGGTCCAGTCATTCCCCTCCTCGGAGTCTTGGTTTTCCCCTCACTGGTGTTGAATCCCAGAGGACAGCTAAGGATGGCAAGTCCTACGTATGCCCAGTAAATCCATTCCCAGTTTCCACCTCTTCCTAAAGACCAGAAAACCATGCTGTCAATTTGAGGGCCAACCAAGTTTTTTTTTCTTTTTTCTTTTTTTTTTGTTTATTTATTTATTTTTAATTTATTTATTTATTAAGGATTTCTGCCTCCTCCCCGCCACTGCCTCCCATTTCCCTGCTCCTCCCCCGATCAAGTCCCCCTCCCTCATCAGCTCGAAGAGCAATCAGGGTTCCCTGACCTGTGGGAAGTCCAAGGACCACCCACCTCCATCCAGGTCTAGTAAGGTGAGCATCCAAACTGCCTAGGCTCCCCCAAAGCCAGTAGGTGCAGTAGGATCAAAAACCCATTGCCATTGTTCTTGAGTTCTCAGTAGTCCTCATTGTCCGCTATGTTCAGCAAGTCCGGTTTTATCCCATGCTTTTTCAGACCCAGGCCAGCTGGCCTTGGTGAATTCCCGATAGAACATCCCCATTGTCTCAGTGTGTGGATGTACCCCTCGCGGTCCTGAGTTCCTTGCTCGTGCTCTCTCCTTCTGCTCCTGATTTGGACCTTGAGATTTCTGTCCGGTGCTCCAATGTGGGTCTCTGTCTCTGTCTCCTTTCATCGCCTGATGAAGGTTAATATTCAGGAGGATGCCTATATGTTTTTCTTTGGGTTCACCTTCTTATTTAGCTTCTCTAGGATGGCGAATTATAGGCTCAATGTCCTTTATTTATGGCTAGAAACCAAATATGAGAGAGTACATCCCATGTTCCTCTTTTTGGGTCTGGCTTACCTCAAGACAACTTTAAGATACCATCTTACACCTGTCAGAATGGCTAAAATAAAAAACACCAATGATAGCCTTTGCTGGAGAGGTTGTGGAGAAAGGGGTACACTCATCCATTGCTGGTGGGAATGCAAACTTGTGCAACCACTCTGGAAAGCAGTGTGGTGGTTTCTCAGGAAATTCGGGATCAACCTACCCCTGGACCCAGCAATACCACTCTTGGGAATATACCCAAGAGAGGCCCTATCATACAACAAAAATATATGCTCAACTATGTTCATAGCAGCATTGTTTGTAATAGCCAGAACCTGGAAACAACCTAGATGCCCTTCAATGGAAGAATGGATGAAGAAAGTATGGAATATATACATATTAGAGTATTACTCAGCAGTAAAAACAAGGACTTCTTGAATTTTGCATACAAATGGATGGAAATAGAAAACACCAACCAAGTTTTCTGTGTCTGAGGAATCGGAAGTCTTGTGGTTCTGCTTGGCTAGAGAGACCAGAAGGCTGAAGTGGGCTTAATGTTTTCACATCTCTCTGTAAAAACTCTTCCAAAATGTGCACCCAGAACCACAATTCAGTGTCTAATCTTCAGGTCCCGAAAATTTGGCAGGCGATATTCATAAACAGCTTGGGACCGCTGAAAGCACCGCGCAAAACAAGCATGCAGCCTGAATATTCATGAATGACTCTGGAACGCACATTGAACCCAGTTGTACAGCACCTCCCCCATTGAGATTGGCAGATTCAGCAAATAAAAATGCAGAACACACTTGAAGTTTTCCATACGGTTGGAATAGGTTTTGGTCTAAGTATGTTTTGAGCATCACCTGAGACATATGAAAAGAGTGCTTATTTCTTTTTAAGAAATTCAAATCAACTGAGTGACTCGGGTTTTCCTTGGCAACCTCATTCTAGATGGACAAACAGATCAACAAGTTATCAGTGTCTTACCTTGGGAAATCTATGTTGAAGAGTTCTAGAATCCTACTCTATTACTCGGGAAGAGTAAAGGGCTAGATTCATCTGAAAATTTGACTCACGTGTTCCCTGATAGATAGGTCAAACAGCCATGGCGAAGTACAGATATCAAAGACTATTTCCAAAGAGACAAAGGCAGAACAGGGTTGGGAAAACCTTTTCATTTCAAGGAAATAGGCAGCTGAGCCTCATCCGGGCCCACCCAGGACCCTCTCCCCTTACCTCTGGGCGTCTCCTTAGATTGTTCTGCCTCTGGCCCATCCAACAAGTCCATCTGCGAGGCCTCCTCTGCGGGCACACGTCGCCAGGACCAGCTCTGGTTCCCGTGGTTGTGGAGAGGAGGGGAATACTCCAGCTCACAGGGGAAGTCAAAGCTGCACTCCAGACCTGCAATGACAAAGGAGGTCATTGGAACAAGCTGCTCCCCAAACGTGGGCCAGGACCTCTAGCAGTCCGGCCTTTGCCTCTTCCACAGCCTCCACCCATCCAGGACAAGAAAGGGGCAATTCCATCAGTGGCCATGGGCCAGGCTGCCAAAAGGAAAGAACAGACGTTGTTCCCCAAACTCCCGGGACACTGAGGGGCTGTGCTTGCCATGAAGAGGGAGAGGGCTTCACCATGGGTGAGCACAGCTCCTCTAAGCAAGTAACATCTGAATTTGAGTCTGCCCCTAATACTTACCAACTCTCTGGCTTTCGATTCCCTCCCCTCTGTTCACTGAAAGTGATGCCTTCAGTCTTAAGAAGTGTGTGCAGAAGACCTAGGCAGGTCCTGCCGTGCCTGACTGAGAAGTCCCAGATCAAAGCAAACACACGGTACTTGCAGCCTTGTTTTGCCATCTTGGCATCTCCACCTCTACCTCTGAGACCACTAGTGGGTCAATAATACTATGAGTGGGTCCTAGCTTATTCTCTCCTGAAGGAGCCCAGGGATAGCCACTGAGTATGGAGACCTAGGGAGGAAAGGAAGCAGGAAGAAGCCTTGCCCTGGAAAAGTTGAGCTCCACGTCGGCTTGTGTGTGGGAGACACCATCCTGACAGGCACTGTCTGCTTGCCTCACATTCGGGGCACCTGAGCCTCTTGGCATCTTTGCTCTCCCTATCCATTCACTGTCCAGTATCCAACGTGGTGGAAGTGCTTTGCAATGGCTGGGCTCTCCGAGCACGCTGATGGAACATGGAGGATGTCGTCTCACGTGTGGACCTTGTTTCCTTTATCAGCCAAACAAACGGTTTCCAGACTAGATATTCTGGAAACAGGCATCGAGTGAAACTGGCCCTCCTTGGTTACTGATTTGCTGGCGACCTTTTGTAAGTCCTCTACCCTGTCTGGACCTCATAAGTCTTCAAGTAGAAGACCAAGGCCAGATGTTTTTCAAAGTTCTTTCTCAATTTAACTTTTGTAAGATTCCAAAGTCCTTGCTTTTGGAGGGGTTATTGCTAATTTGATGAATCAATCTGTGGTCCTGCTAATGGGTGCTAACTCCCAATTAACACTGGTGCTTTTAAACAGCTGCTTTTTGGGGCCACTATTTCCAGCTTCAAAAGAAGCCTGGTACGCTGGATGGTCCTGTAATCACATCCATGGACAGCTGGCCCTTCCTCGGAATGAAAGTGAAGTGATTCCCATCGACACAGCCAAACTATCTAAGTTAGAAGGGGTGGGGGGCGGGTGGACTCTCAATTACACTTCTATTAAGTGTCTTTCTGTTTCTGGGCAAGAGAGATTGGTTTTATGTTTCCCAGCAGCTCTCCAGGAGCTATATCCTGCGGTCCTAAGGTTAATACCACTCGCCCTTTCATGCTGCAGACAATTCCCCTTTATAATGGGGAGATGGTACCTCGTTTGTGTTGCCCTGTCACTCGCCGCCTTTGTATCTTCTCAGCACTGAAGATGGTCTGTCTGCCTCTGAGGGCGGCAGTGCTGCTGTTGAGAGTGTCTGTGGAGGAACTGCCGGTTTTGTTAATCAACCTCTCCCCGCCCCACCCCCTCCCGACCAGAGACTCATCTATCCAATTGGGCTTTCAGATTGTCTGTGTAACTGAGGATGATCACCCTGACCCTCCTGTTTCCATTGCCTGAGTGGTAGAATCCTAGGTATATAATCCTTGTCTCTGCGCTGCTGTTGAGAAAATTCAGGACCGTGTGCATTCTAAGCTAACTGAGCCTCCTCCTCAGCCCCCTGACCATCAGCGCTGGCTTGCCAGACACCTTGCTTTGGGATCAGAATGCCAGGATAAAACTGGTACTATGTTTGGTACCTTGCAATACCAAACTGGCCTCAAAATGAATAGCACGGCCATTACACATGGCTTCGCTAGGGAGGCCCCCAATCTCCATTCACATTAGCAAATGGGAAAAGATACGAGAAAAAGAGAGCAGCCACCCACCCAACAGTGGCAATTACTGATGCCGTCCCAAAACTTCAGCTTCTACAGCTATCATCCATCACATCTATTCTTCTCCAAATAAAGATGTCCCACTTCCATCTGAGACAGAGGGGTGCTGTGCCGAAACAGACGTCGCCTGGCAAATGTGCTTGTGTACATATTAAGCAAACAGACCTCAGACTGAGAACCATCCATTCTGGGATGCCTGGCCTCTGGGGAGTGTAATAATCCACTGTGTTGGGGTCAAACCCTGCCTTGGAAAGGAGGCTATGCAAATGCCCCACCACCAAATGAGTTTGTTTTGAAATCAGTGCTTGGAGGCAGGCCTCCCTCTTGCTCTCCCAGCTGTACTTCCTGGCTTTAAATAGGAATGGAGTTAATATTGCTGCTCGTTTTGGATGGAACTGAATTGGATTTTTCTACATTCTGATTTAATTTCTTATAAAGCATTGAGAGACAGGTTGTTTTTTTCTCCCTTCTAAACCACCTTTAATATCTTTAGGCAATAATATCTGGGGATCATTTTCTCTAACAACGCCAGGAAAGACTCCTCTTCTTTAGTCCTTGTCAAAGGTTCTAGTTATGGGGTGCTTCTTAAAGACCCTCTTTTGCTCTCTTCTGACTCAGGGCCTATGAGGCAGAAGCTCTAAGCTCTCTTTCACAGAAAGTACTCACAGGGATCAAGGGATTCATCAAAGTGCTCAGCCTTCCTCAGGCCCAGGTAAGCCCAGGGCACCCCTCATCTTATCTGCTGGGGACCATTCTAAGTACATATTCCCATCAACATATTTAGTCTACAGAGCAACACTAAAAGGTGGGTGCTGTTTTCTCCTCTGTAGACGAAACCGGAACTCAGAAAGGTTACTTTTTTGAAGACAATAGCCCCCATCCACTTCCAGGAAGAGCCAGAAAGAGACCCAGGGCTGGAGCATACTGTCAAACCAGGGTTTTCTGCTCACTCCACCACAGCTCCAAAATCAAAACCCAGGGACAAAGACCAAATTAAGTAATGTCTGAGTGTGGTGGCTCATTTCAGTTGCTGAGTTATTACAACAAGCAACACCTGGGGCACTAATGAGGCATGTCTTTGGGTGTGTCTGTGGGGTGATCCCAGAGGGGAATTCTGAGAGGGAAGACACCCCGAATGAGGGCAGCACCATGCCCTGGGGTCCTCGGCTGAAGAGAAAGGAGAAAGTCGGTAGAGCATTGGCGTTCATCTCTCTCCATTTCATGACAGAGCACCTGGAGCTTCAGTGGCAGCCATGTCTTTGCCTCCATGATGAATTGTATCCCCCTCAAACCATGAAAGCAAACCTTTCCTCCTCCCATCACCTCTCATCAAGAGTTTCATGACAGCAGAGAGGAAAGCACCTAATGCCCCAGGACACTGTGAAGATGGCTGTTCCTGGACTTCAACTCTGCCCACTGCTCACATCGTCAGATTTCTGCACCACCCTCGGGGGACAGATGGTGTGGGAGGTCCTTCTGTCTGTGTGTTGCTTTTATTGGTTAATGAATAAAGAACTGCCTTGGCCTATAGCATGGGAGAAGGAAGGCGGAGTCAGGGAGAAGCAATGGAGCCTCCAGCAGAGTCAGACATGCTGAAACTTTGCATTGCCACTGCCACGTGATGATGCACAGATTAATAGAAATGGGTTAAATTAATATGTAAGAGTTAGCCAATAAGAAGGGGCCAAGCAGTGTTTTGCTTAATATAGTTTCTGTGTGGTTATTTTGGTTCTGGGCATCTGGGGCGAACAAGCGGCCCCTCCTAACTACAGACAGATCTATTGCTCCTCAATGTTAGACCCTTTACAGCCACTATGACCTTCACAAGAATGCAGAGATCTCAGCCTTGACTGCATATATCTATTTGGTCTATGAGAAGCTGACCATTGAAAAATAACAATGAGGGGGGGAAAGTAATTATCATGTGCCAATTAAAACTATAAAAAAAAGAAAGGAAGATACTATTCCTAACTGCTGAGTGTGCAGTTATAATCAATCACTGATGCCTGATACTGGTCTTTCTTATCAGTTCCCTCATGGAAGAAAGATAGTGGAACCTTCTAAAAATGATCAGCCTGCTAGGAGGAACATGAAGTGCTGTAAAATAAATCTTTGGCAGGGCACAGTCATGATGGTCCTGCAAAAAGCAGCTGAAGAACCCCGGGGAGGGCTGTTATCTGAACCTACATTTCTGCATTTAAAATAGGAGAAAAAGAATACCCTTCCCCGGAAGCACTTATCTTTGCTGGGGCTCACTGACTCTCCATCACCACAGCTGCAGCTCCTCCTGATCTCACAACCAAACCTATGGACTAGCAGACATTTGCCACTAGCATTGGAAGGAGACTCTAGGAATGTAATACTTAAAGGGGGCACTTCTTACTCTAGATTTTCAAAGACTCGCTAAAGGGACCTCAAGCAGTTTGTTACAACAGGTCAAGACAAGAATGAGCTCCACTCCTCTCTCTCTCTCTCTCTCTCTCTCTCTCTCTCTCTCTCTCCCTCCCTCCCTCCCTTCCCCACCTGGTGTGTGTGTATGTGTGTGTGTGTGTACACATACGTACATGTTGTATATCTATACCCTGAAACTTGCCAGGATAGGGGACACATTTCAAAGCTCAAAAATACTAACAGTAAGTTAGCAAGTTCAAAACATGGCTTCACTGTGAAATGTTGTCATTGAGGAAAATGTCCCAGAACCCATCAGAGCCACACTGTAGGACAGATGCCTGGAGGGGTTGGCAATGGCTGCCTGCTTTGACAGTCTGAGTCTGCAGATGAAAAAGGTGGAAATCTGGTCTCTAGCAAAGGGTGAGACTACCAACAACAAAGTGGCCATGCCTAAGGCCTAAAGCAGTTAAGACAGAGGTGGGAGCTTCTTGACCCAGGCCACATACCAGGAAAAGACACTCAAGGGATGGGGTTCCCGGTGCTGTAAACCACAGAATGGTAACAGGGAGACCTGGTATCTTCAGGCCCTGGATTTCC